TATAAACAGATATGAAGGAAGAAATAAATAGCAATATAATAATAGTAGGGAATTTCAAAATTTCACTTTCAACAATGGATAAATCATCCAGACAGAAAAGCATTGGACTTAACTACACATTAGAGTAGAGGGACTTAACAGACATTTTCAGTACATTCCATCCAACCACAGCAGAGTACACATTCTCCTCAAGTACACATGGGACACTCTCCAGGATAGATCATATGTTAGGTCACAAAACAAGTCTTAATAAATGTAAGAAGTGTGAAATAATATCAAGCATGTTTTCCAAACAGAGTGGTATGAAACTAGATATCAATTACAGGAAGAAAACTGGAAAATTCAACGTGTGGAGATTAAACAACATGCCACTGAACAACGAACAGGTCAAAGAATAAATCAAAAGGGAAATCAAAGAGTACCTTGAGACTAAAGAAAATGCAAACACAACATACCAAAATGTATGGTATGTATCAAAGCAGTTCTAAGAGGGAAGTACATAGCAGTAAACACCTAAGTTAAAAATAAAAAGTCTCAAACAACCTAACTTTTCACCTCAAGGAATTAGAAAGAAAAAAAAAAAAAAGAAGAAACTACGTACAAAGATAATAGAGGGATGGAAATAGTAAAGATCAGAGTGGAAATAAATGAAATAGAGACTTAAAAATAGGAAAGATAAGTGAAACTACCAGCTGGTTTTTTGAAACATAAAATTGACAAACCTTTCACTAGACTGAGAGAAAAGGAGAGAAGACTTAAATTCAGAAATGAAAGAGGGGACATTACAACTGATACCACACAAATACAAAGGATCATAAGAGACTGCTAGGAACAATCTTACACCAACAAATGGGACTACCTAGAAGAAATGGATGAATTCCTAGAAACATAGAACCTACCAAACTGAATCATGAAGAAATAGAAAATCTGAACAGTTCAATTACTAGTAAAGATTTTGAATCAGTAATCCAAAACCTCCCAACGAAGAAAAGTCCAGGATCAAATGGCTTCACTTGTGAAATTCTACCAAACATTTGAAGAAGAATTAATACCAATTCTTCTCAAACTCTTTCAAAGAATAGAAATGGAGAGAACATTTCCAAACACATTTTATGAGGCCAGCATGACCCTGATGCCAAAGCCAGATGAGGACACTGCAAGAAAAGAAAACTACAGGCCAGTATCCCTGATGAACATAAATGCAAAAATCCTCAGCAAAATATTAGCAAGTTGAATTCAATACTAGATTAAAAGAATCATATACCAAGATGAAGTAGGATTTATTCCAGGGATGCAAGTATGATTTAATATATGGAAATCAATAAATGTGATGCTCCACATTAACAAAATGAAGGAGGAAATCATGATTATCTCAATAGATGCAGAAAAATTACTTGACAAAATTCAACCTCCTTTAGTAATAAAAACTCTCAATAAACTGGTTATAGAAGGCCTCAACATAATCAAGACCATATGTGACAAGCCCACAGCTAACATCATACTCATTGGTGAAAAGCCAAAAGCTTTTCCTCTAAGATTAGGAACAACACAAGGATGCCTACTCTTGCCACTTTTTTCTTTTTCTTTTCTCTTTCTTTTTTTTTTTTTTTTTTGCCACTTTTTTTCAATTTGGTACCTGGAAGTCCTAGCCAGAGCAGTTAGACAAGTAAAAGAAATAAAAGGTATCCAGATCAGAAAGCAAGAAGTAAGACTGTCTCTGTTTGCAGATCACATGATATTATATATAGAAAACCCTATAGTGTCCACCAAAAAAATATTAGAGCTAATACATGAAATCAGTAAAGTTTCAGGAAACAAAATCAATATACAAAAATCAATTGCCTTTCTATACACCAACAACTAACTATTGGAAAGAGAAATCAAGAGTAAAATTTCATTTACAATTGCATGAAAACAATAAAATACCTAGGAATAAATTTAAATGAGGAGGAGAATTATTAGGTTGACCAAAAGTTCTGGTTTTGCCATGTTATGGAAAAACCCAAATGAAATTTTTGGCCAACCCAATATTTGTGCATTGAAAACTGTGAGCTGTAGACAAAAGAAATTGAAGAAACAAATAAGTGGCAAATATTCCATGTTCATGGATTGGAAGAATTAATATTGTTAAAATGTTCGTACTACCCAAAGTGATCTACAAATTTCATGCAATCCCTATCAAAATTTCAATGCCATTTTTCACAGAAATAAAAAAAAAATCCTAAAATTTGTATGAAACCACAAAAGATCCAAATAACCAAAGCAATCAAGAAAGAATAACAAAGCTAAAGGCATTACACTTCCTGATTTCAAACTCTATTACAAAGCTATAGTAATCAAAACAGTATGGTATCAGTATGAAAATAGACACATAGATGAGTGGAAGAGAATAGAGAGCCCAGAAATAACCCATGCAATATGGTTAATTAATTTTTGACAAAAGAGTCAAGAATATATAATGGGGAAAGGATAGTCTCTTTAATAAATGGTGCTGGGAAAACTAGACATCTACGTGCAAAAGAGTGAAATTGGACCTTTATCTTACACCATACACAATAATCAACTCAAAGTGGATTAAAGACTTGAAAGTAAAACCTGAAATCTAGAAGATGTTATAGTTGTAAGCTCCTTGACATTGGTCTTGGCAATGATTTTTTGGATTTCACACCAAAAGCAAAGGCAACAAAAGCAAAACTAAACAAGTGAGACTACATCAAACTAAAAAGCTTCTGCACAGCAAAGGAAACCATCAACAAATGAAAAGGTGACCTACTGAATGGGAGAAAATATTTGCAAACCACATATGTAATAAGGAGTTAATATCCAAAATATACAAGGAATTTATAGAACTCAACAGCAAAAAAAACACACAAATAACCCAATAAAAAATGGACAAAGAACCTGAATAGACATTGTTTCAAAGAAGACATAAAAATGTCCAATAGGTGCATGAAAAGTGCTCAACATTATTATCAGAGATATGCAAATGGAAACCTCAGTGAGATATCACCTCGTACCTGTTAGGATATCTCTTATCAAAAAGACAGGAGATAACAAGTGCTGGTAAGGCTGAAGAGAAAAGGGAACCCTTGTACACTGTTGGTAGGAATGTGAATTGATTACTCCATTGTGAAAAACAATAAGGAAGTTACTCAAGAAATTAAAAATAGAACTACTATATGATCCAGCAATTCTAATTCTGTATATATAATTGGAGGAAACAAAATCACTATCTTGAAGAGATATTTGTACTCCAATGTTCACTGCAGCATTATTTACAGTATCTAATGTATGGAAACAACTTAAGTGTCATTAAATGGATCAATGGATAAATTACGTTATATATACACAATGGAATATTATTCAGCCTTAAAAAGAAAGAAATCCTGCTTTTGCAATAACATGGATGAACCTGAAGGGCATTATGCTAAGTGAAATAAACCACACAAAAACAAATATGCATGGTATTGCTTATACGTGGGGAAAAACTGTTGAATGCATGTAAATAGAATAGAATGGTGGTTGCCATATCCTGGGAGTGGGAGAAATTGGGGGAGGCTGGTAAAAGGGTACAAACTTTCAGCTATAAGATGACTAAGGTATTAGGATCTAATGTAGAACATGGTGAGTATAGTTGAGTATACTGTATTGTATAATTGAAATTTGCTAAGAGAGTAAAACTTAAGCATTCTCACCAAAAAAGGAAAAAAAAAAAAGGAAATATATGAGGTGGGCAGATGTGTCCCACCTTAAAAGTGGGAATCCTTTCACAATGTATATGTGTATTAAATCATCATGTTGTACACTTTAAAAATATTACAATTTTATTTGTCAATTATACCTCAACAAGCTGAAAAAAATTTACTTAATTTAAAAAATCCTTTGCCCATGTTGAAATAGCTTGTTTGTTTATTGTTGAGTTGTAGGAGTTATTTATATATTCTAAATATTAGTTGCTTATCTGATATATGACTTGCAAATATCTCCTCCCATTCTGTGGGTTGTCCTTTCACTCTCTTGATAGTGTCCTTTGATGCACAGACATTTTTTTTTTTTATGAATTCTAATTTATCTGTTTTTTTCTTTTGTTACCTGTATTTTTGGTGTCATATCATCATTAAAATGATGATTAAAATAATGAAATCATCATTAAATCCAATGTCAAGAAGATTTCTTCCTATGCTTTCTTCTAAGGCTTTTATAGTCTTAGCTTTTATGTTTAAGTCTTTGATCCATTTTGAATTAATTTATGTATATGGTGTAAAGTAAGGGTCCAACTTCCTTCTTTTGAATGTAGATATCCAGTTTTCCTAGTAACATTAGCTGAAAAAAACTCTCCTTCCCCCACTGAATAGTCTTATATGTGAGCATTTATTTTAGGGCTCTCTATTATTTTCCAGGTCTATATGTCTGTCCTTATACCAGTGCCACACTGTTTTGATTACTGTAGCTTTGTATTAAGTTTTGAAATCAGGAAATGTGAGTGTTCCAACTTGGTTGCTCTGTTTCAAGATTATTTTGATAATTAATAATAAAATCTTTTAAAGTACAACCCAAGCAGAGTTTATGTGTTTGTAAACTGTATGTGTCATGTATGAAGATTTATGCCAATGGCCACATTTATATTTTAAGCCTGACCTGTCCTGAGCTCTAGACTTGGAACTGCCTGACATCTCCACCATGCTTCTCAATATTAACAGGTCAAAAACACAGTTTTAAATCTCTTCTTTGAAATTTGTTTCTACTGGTTTCCATATCTTAGTAAATAGCATCACACACTTTTACTCTATTTTACCACTGCTCCCCACCCCACCCCCCACCATATTCCATCCCTCAAGTCCTATTGGCTTTTCCTTCCAAACATCTCCCCAATCTGACCACATCCATCCTTATTACTGTGTCCAAGTTACAGTCATTATGTCCCCCCCAACCCCCTGACCCAATCTATTCTATTCACAGAAGTCAGGAAGTCTGAGAAAAGATGAATTGTGGAATCTTACCTTTAAGACGTTTGTCCAAGTATTCTAGGATTAATCTGAACATTTGAACTACTGCAAGAATTAAAGATCCAAATGCTAGGGATCCAGTGTGATATCTGGGCAAAGATAAAATGAGAATAAAAGTTAAAATATTTTTACTATTAACTAAAAGGATGTTAGTTAATTTTTATTGGTAAAAGGGATCTGCAGAAGGATTGATAGGAAAGAGCTTCTTATACTCTCTTATTCAGATTGACAAAGGTCTCCATAGAGGATTTTAAACCATATACATCCATTTTGCACTTCATCTATGAAAATGATACCAATAGCCTCTCATCTTATGATGATTTTATGTTTGAGCTGAGCAATGAAGGAACACAGACAAGTTAGTCCTTAATCTTTAATTTGGTGCCCTTCCCTACCTCTTCTCTCCAGTAACCTTTCAGAAGGATATTGGCCTGGGTAGGGATTATAAAACTGTGGCTATAAAACCAGACAAAGCCAGTGGACATCTGTGAATCTTGAATTATACCTCTGACCTCAAGTACTTTGCCACTTGAATTATAAGATTGAATTATAAGCACACTAAACATAACTGGGAAGATAGGTATAGGTTTCAGTGTGAAACTTACCTTATGGCTCGTCCAAATGCAGTAAAAAGTGGATATGGTGGGATGTCATCAGGTTTTTTCAAGGCCCAGTAATAAGAAGCAAAGGCACCAGCAAGGGCACACTGACCCAATGCAATGACAAAATTTATAAGCCAGAGAAAGACAAATAGATTGAATATCTGGAAGGTAGTGATATATTGATGGTACAGGCTCTTTCCACCATAGAAAGCAAAATGACACTGAGCCCCAGGGCAAGCTTTGGCCATTTCAGTTGTATTAAAAATCTGCACTCAGGAAAAAAACAAAACAAAACAAGAATAATATAATATTAAGTGCTATTCCAAGATAACACCTTCCTTGCCTTCTCTTGTGTGGCCCCCAATTGCATATCTTGCTTTTTTCCTATTAGCTTCTGCTGTTATTTCTATTTTCTATAACATCACTTTATACAATTCTTTAATGAGCTCTGGAAGGTACCTCATTTTTCCATCATATGTTCATCAGTCTGCATCCACTATAATTTCACATTTATTAGTGTTGTTGTTGAGTGTGCCCGCATCTTAGGTGTACGACAGGACAAGTGAGCTCAGGAAATAGCAGTGCCTTCTCTCTATTCTGCCTACCGTTTTCAGTGCTCCCCTGCTAACACCCGACCCACACTCCCCTTCTCTACGGTGATCCTCATCAATGCACATGGTCTCTATTTCAGGATGATTCCTACCACTACTGCTAGATGAAATACAGTAGAGTTCTGTATTGAAGTAAATAAAAGAGTTTCTTTTACTTACCTCTGGATTACAGGTTTTATTTTCATGTTTACATTGCCCCTCTGGGGCTATGACTTTGTATATAGGTACCCCTGATGTAGCCAAGTAACTGAGTGAACTCTATTAAGGATAAATTATTTGCTGGTAGATTGAATGTAAATGGACAAGAAAGTAATGCAAATAACTCAAAAGTCCACTGAAAGATTAATTTCAAAAAACTAATCTTTTAACAATTCATTCATTTTCAGACCCAGAGTAATATAACGTGGGTCAGCTGCACTGAGTGGCCCCTTAAAAACAGTGAAATATAAAAAGAGATTTTTTTATGTATTGCAAAGGAGGAGTACCACATGTGAAGACAAAATAAAACAAAATGTACCATGTGACCTATCTGAGGGGAAATCCAATTGGTACACTGAAACATTTTTAGAGCTTAGCAATCATAATTTCCATCATCACCATCATCATCATCATCATCATCATCTCAATTATATCTTTAGGATGTTCCTAGTCTTTCCCGGATGGAAACAGACACAAACTCCTAGCTCCTGAATAGTAGTGTGTACCTGAGCTTTGAAGGGGTCAATTACCAAAGGATACACTGCTATCACAGCCCAGTAGGAAATGCAGATTGAGAGGAAAATGAAAGTTAAAACTGGATAAATTAAGGTAGTAGGGATGTATCCAATGGCTCTAAAATAAAACAAATAGTTGAAACTGAAAATGATCCAGTTATAATGTCTCAATTAAAATTTTATCTGTTAGAACTAGAAATAAGCCTTTGACTGAGTTCATTCCAAGAACAGTGGTAATAACCATCAACTCTTTTTTGCTGATGTATACTTAGTTGGTTTTAAAATTTTATTTATTCATGTTTAGTAAGTTAGAGGCATTCTTTCAATGCTAATGTTTGATTCCTCCCCAAACCTTCTCCTCTTTGGTTATTTCTGACTGACGCATAAATATTTGATGCATTATAATCATGGTATTTCTCCCTTTTCCTTAGATTTTTAAATAGAGAGGACCTTGAAGATCATCTGATCAAATGGGAGAATCCATCCCTAATTTAAGAATCCCTTCTGAACTATCTTCAAAACATGTTCATTAGTCTCTGGTGATCTCATTGAGTGAAAGGAACTTACTTTTATATGACACAGCTTATTCTATTTTCTTAACAACCAAAGTATTAGAAAGTTCTTCTTTATCTGCCTGCATGTAATTCACATCCACTACCTTCTGGAGAAGAAATGACCACCTTTTCCATACAGCAACCCTTCAAGCAACTCATTATTCTTTTATTCTCCAGGGTAATAATTCTTTTGATATTTCCTCCTAAGATAAGGTTTCTAAAATATTCATATCCTAATTGCCCTATAATCTATTCAGCATATGATACTGAATTAACCCTATGCTGTTTGATATAGCCACTGAGCACTATGATGGAACTATGTCCACTCCTAATGCACGGACACATTTTAGATTCATTTTTGTATTTGTTACCTTCTCCACCTCACTATTTGGGCTATGCTATTCTCTCTTTTCCCGACACTGCTGTTCAGTGAATTATTGGGCGTCCCTATGTTTACCCTGTATTCCCACACACATTTATTCCAGCTCTTATTTTCCCTGGAAAAAATTATTAACCAGTCACAGTAGCAATTGCCCTTTAACACACACACACACACACACACACACACACACACACACACATTTAGAGGCATAGCAGTAGGATAAGTGAATTGTACAATATATTATTTAAGACATAACCCAGCAAATCAGTAGTTTTCAGTGGCTAATGATAGGGCTTCAGTTATTGTGGGAAGGAGAGAGTTTAATTTAACAAACTGCTTGTTAACTATTTCAAACACTGGCTTTAGGTGGCACTATTATTATTATAGATGATGATTTTGTTAAAACAATCCTTAAGGACTATTTAAAATAATTTGGTCCTTGGTCATTAACACCTCAGTTTCCATCATTCTAAACAGAGAACATGACCTATTGGCTTTGTAGTAACACCTTCCTTGCTGTTTCCATGCATTATTTGAAAGTTTAAAGTATTATCCTCAAGTGACCTTTTGGAATAGTTTAGAAACTGTAGGTGTTATTACCTCACAACATGAATTTTATGAAAAATTGTTTATTCTGTAGCATTTTATTTTTTTATTTTTTATTTTTTTGCGGTACGCGGGCCTCTCACTACTGTGGCCTCTCCCGCTGCGGAGCACAGGCTCCCGACGCGCAGGCTCAGCGGCCATGGCTCACGGTCCCAGCCGCTCCGCGGCATGTGGGATCTTCCCGGACCGGGGCACGAACCCGTGTCCGCTGCATTGGCAGGCGGACTCTCAACCACTGCGCCACCAGGGAAGCCCCTATTCTGTAGCATTTTAAAATAAAAATGGCTCTGGGTATAAAATGTTCCTGAATTGAGAGCTGTAGATACAAAATGTATAGTCTGGTAGTGCTAGGACCAATTATTCTGCCTACTGGCAATTTTGTTACTTATACAAAACTAGCAAGAGCACATAATTGACTTTATAGAATTATGGTGATTTAAAGTTCTGCAAATGATCTCAACCATTAATATTAACATATGACTCAGTATGGGAATAATATAACACAACTAACTTTTATATAGCAGTTTATCACTTACTTTCACATAAGTTATCCTCCTAACATATATTTGGTGCTTAAAAAAAAGTGCTAGTGCATAGAATACACGGGTTTTAGCTTTATTTTACCCTATGATAATTGAGGTTTGGGGATTTTGAAAGATTTATTAGCATGAAGTTTTTAATACGTGGCAGAGTCTGAACTTGAACAAGTCTTCTTGAATGGAAAGCAGATTTAACAAGCCATCTTAAAGGGAAAATAGTCTGGGGCATCTACAAATAAGCGGTGACCGATATGACATTGATATACAGTATATGAGTTTCTCCATCAAGGCCTTACTTGCTCCCCTCCTTCAGCAGGGCAATGGAGATGCGGATTCGGTCCCTGAGGAAGATCAGCATGAGGATGATGAACACTTCAAGGATGCAGAGTATTATCACTTTAAACAGGGGGGGAAAAAAAAAATAATGTGCGATGCAAATCAATCCCAAAAGCAAACCTTCTCCGCAAAAGTTAGGACTGAACTTCATGATTATTTCTACCAATTCTGACACTTCATAATTTAAGCAGTGCTACCTCTCCAAAAATGCCAGTTTTAGATATTTGCTTTCAAAACCTCCCAGAAACACTAAAAAAATCTAGATTAAAACTTCTAGCTAGAGTTTAAACAACTCAGTTGGACAGGCTTCATTTTATCTATGGAAACGTTTCACACCATTTGTAGAAATGAGAAAATAGGCATGGAAGGAAGGAAGGGCTGCTTTAGGCAACTCTATTTTAGATGTTTTCACTTTCACTCCTTTGAGTAAGAGAATCATTACAGAAGAAAATTTCTGGACTGCCTCCCCACTCACAGTGCCTCTTAATTAATTGATCTCGCTGATGGACAGGGTGGGTTCTGAGATGTCACATTTTAAGTTTCACACTCCACCTATCATGGCTGCCATTGATGAAATCAGAGTGTAAACCCAACCCAGGTTGTGTAATAAAAGTCTCAGAATTAGAATTAAGGGAATCTAGTTCGGTTTTGATTTGAAGTTTATAAACCTCTTGAACTAAGAGTTGTACACATTTAATAAACTGTGTAAAAACCATCTTTATGTGAAGTAAGTGAACCTGCAAAGGAAGAATAAAATGTATATGTGTAAAGAAAGAGAGCAAGTGGAGGAAATCTTGGCTCCTTTTTGGCTTTTTGTTTCCTGGATCCACATACACTTGAAAGTCCAGCTGCTTTTCTGCTACTTTGAGTTTGGTGAGACACTTCTATACTCTTAGAATAAATACCCCTGCCTTGCCTCCAGCTTGTTCCTTTGTTTCTTTTTACTTAAAGCCAAACAGTCCTAATTACTATATTTCCTCAATTCTAAGACATACCTTCAATTTAGTAATATCCTTTCAGGAAAAGTAAAGAAATCCTTTATTAAATGTCTATTCATTGATTATAAAATGCATCCTGACCTCAGAGATGTTAAAAAGTGAAAAGGTATGGATCCTAAATTAAGGAAATATAGTACTGCTAATAACAAAATCTGAAATTATCAAAGAAACTTAATGGAAAGTTAAATTAAATTCCTACCCATGAAAGAATCCGTTCTAACGTTCTTGCTAGATAGTTATTCCGCTCATGTCTGAACACTTCCAGTGATAGGGCACTCATTATTTCATTCTATTGTTATACCACTGAGATTTGGATGATACATCCCACTTCAGTTAGTATCTCCAAGTAAGTAGAAATCAGTTAACCCAGAGATGTGGGAGGATCTTAGTAAGGTATCATCTCGCTACTACATCTTCCTTTAGTTAAACGATGTATTTATGTTTTTATGCAAATTTGATTCTCTTAAAACTAGACTGAGTCCAAAATTGTGGAGTATAGCCATATTAACCTAAAATCACTATCTTCTTTGGATAAACTTAAGAATATGAAATATATCCGTCACTTTATGTTCTGAAATTGCATTGAAAAAGAACATTGCATATTAAGTTTGTACCTTTACAAAATTACATATTTTAAATGGTTATATCAGAGAAATTTAACTGTCTTTTGAATTTATATATTATATTCCCTCCTTTTGTTTGAGCAAGAGCAAACAATAGAAACATATTTTTTGAGCCCCTAGAGAGAAGCTGGTATAAATCTAGCTTTACCAAGGAGGCTGGGATAATTAATAGAAATGAGAATAGAACCATCTCCTAACACAATCCAAGACTCATAAAAATTATAATTTTTGCATGTATAACTGCATATTTTTAGTGTTTCTGTCAATTAGTATAATTTCATACATATACCCTTGTCTCTGGTGCCTAGGATTTCATCAAACACAGAGCAAGTAATCACTTAATGTCTGATAAATGCGCTGTGAAAGCTAACACTCATTTGAGGAAAGATAATTATTGCTAGACTTGAAAATAAAAGCAAGCCCTGTTTTCTCCTCAAAGTACCTCTCAACTTCTCCAATGGCAGATTCTGATCATCTCAATGATTTTTGTGTTGAAGGTCCTTAAGAGACAGCAGCAGGATGACCATAGAACCTGTAACTAAGATCCATCTGAGAGTAAAACTAGAGGTTTCAATACATAATGGAGGAGATTTGTCATCTTTAGATATGACAGATGACAGTAAATGGACTGCTGAGGAGATATGGAATCACTCAAATTCAGAAAAAATAATGAGGGTGTAAGTTCTAAGACACCTGATTTTTATAGTTAAAAAAAATGGCTATCAATGAAGTTCTTCTGAAACATATTTGAAAAAATAATGTGTTATGTGAAGGGCTAGAAATGTGTTACGTGAGGGCTAGAAATGGGAACCCAAGGAGCAAGAATTTGGCATTTTGATCTAGCACTATCCAAGGAACAGAGGAAAACTGAATTTGGCAGACAAAGGAATCTGGTGGGGGCTTCTGTGCAGCAGGGCTAGGTCATCAAGCTTGGCATGAGCCTGAAGAAAACATCTCTCAAGACTATCCAAGGGTCTCTGCTAAAAAAACTTTCTCATTAGTAATCTTATTCCCCATATGCCTTGACGCCAGGAAAGCAGTGTCCTAGGTGGTATATATGTCTGTATTCTGGTCACAGAGAGAGTACCCTAACAGTTTTAACGAATAAAAAGGCACTCTGGTGACATGTTGTGAGCCTGTCCCTGATGACTTTTGGGTGAAGTGGCAAAATTAAGTTTTCAGATTTATGGTGATGGGATCCATGCTGGAATCATGATACTCTCCAAGATACTGCCCCCCTCTTAGGCTTCCTCTGGGCTCCTTACCAGGCATCCTCAAACTTGTCTTCCCTGGCTCTCTAACTTCAACAACATATGAAGATGAAATATTTTTAAAGCACCATGTAATTACAGATCATCTTTAAAATCTTGAATAAATAACACGAATCTCTGTAAAGTGCAAGGAATAGTATAATAAAACCATTCTAGAAATATAGGATTGAAGCCATCTCTGAAATCATCTAGCTTTTAAAATATTTGTTAATATTACCCTTAACTAACTCAATCTAAATAAACATTTCAAAAATGTAAATTTCTTTTGTTATTTATTATTCCAATTCTATAACAAGTTGCTTAAAAGTCCTGCTATGAAAAATTTGTTGCTTATTTTTCTTTTTCCTTTTTCTATTTTTAAAAACAAGTTCGAAAAATCAAGCATTTTTTTCCTTTTAAAATACCTTTCTTGGATATCAGATTAATGGCTATAAACGTCTATATCCAACCCATTTTAAGTTGAAGGCAAATAGCTTGAGATCATTGTAAAGTAACATTTTCCTAGATTATATAATAAATTCCCCTCAATGACTTTTCCATTTATTGTAGCTAGTATTATTATAGACACACTTATTTTAATGACATTAGCAATAAGTATATTTTAACAAGCTATACCAACCCAAATTTTCCTTTACACAAAAAGATGCTTTCTTGTTATTACAATTTTAACAAACAAGTTTTTAAAATCCACTCACTAAATGCGAACCATGTTTGTTTCAGTTGAAAGTACATGCTTATATCAGTCTGAATCCCGATGTGAAATACAGTTAAGTGAGAATTTGGCTGTCCCTGAAGATTGCTGTATTCCCGGTAACAGTGCCATATTCCTTGAAAAGGAGAGAAAAGTAGACTAATATAAAATGCTATTTTCTGAAATATAAGCTATACACTTATAACACATATCTACATGAAATTGATCAGCATGGTCATTTTTACAAAGACAAGATTCATATTTCAAATTAAATATTTTATGTATATCTAATAGTCTAAATGTGCTACTGTATTCAGTATAAATGTTTTCAGTATTTGTCTGGATGACTGTGGCAACATCTGGCTTTAAAGGACCTTTTAAATAGAAACAACCTTAATGTCCATCAATAGCGATTGGTTAAAAAAATTATGGTATATTTGTACAGTAGAATACTGCATTTCCATATAAAGAGGAGAAAGTCTAGTGTTAGTGAATGATCACCAGATGTTTTGTTAAGTGGAAAAAAGAAAAGTACAAAATGATATAAAAATATGCTATAATTCATATAAGAAGCAAGAACTATATATATTTTCTTATACACACGTAAAGTATCTCTGGGAGGATACTTAGAAATACAATATTTTTTGCTTCCAGGATGGGAAACTTGGTGACTAAGGAGTAGAATGAGAAGGAAAATTTTCACTGTATAAACTTTTTATCTTTTAACATATAATCTATTTAAAAAGCAAATTTAAAAAATCATTTAAGTTGAAAAAAGCCTTGTGAAATCTTTTCAATGGTGAAGGAATGTCTTGATGGAACTGTCTAAAAGCATATTCTTGTCAAAGATTGTGTCCAGGCAAGGCAAACATGGACTTAGTGTATTTTCCCTAAGACTCTGTGTTTCAAACTGTATATGACTTTTCACATGGTCTAGATAAAGTGGGAGTAAAAAACAGAGTTAAGAGGCCTATTTATTTTAATGACCCACGGGTCTGGATTAGGTCCGTTGGATATGTTCTAGCAATAATGAGGAAAATAACTTTTAAAACCTCTAACTGTAAACTAACCGTTTTTTTCCCCTAGATACAAGGTGAGAGGGTATGGCCCATGGAAAGACAAAAAACTAAATTAGAAAGGACAGTTGTTTCTCAAAGAAATATAAGATAAATCCCTTCCTTTTAGGCATTGCTTTCCCTGTGAATTTTTAAAAATTCCTTTAAAACTGCTTTATGGAATATTTGATACATACAAAATTATATGTAATGCAGATGTTGGTTTTAAAGCATACAGTAAAATAAACACATATGAATGTATCACCTATCTTAAGATTTTATCATCCGAATTTTGTTCTAATTACACAAAATAAAAATTTTTCTTCTACCTGAGATTTTCATCCTATCATACCTACTGCCTCTCCCTGCCAAAGAACAATTATTCTGAATCCTGTGCTTATTATTCTTATTTTAGCAGAAAGATATGTTGAAATATCTCCTTAAGGGGTATTTATATCCCATAAAGATTTATTATTTATTGATTTATTATTAATTCTTATAGTTCTATGACTTTTGAGGCTATTATTAGATGCATACATGTTTAGAATTAGTATATCTTTTTTTTTTAACATCTTTATTGGGGTATATTTGCTTTACAATGGTGTGTTAGTTTCTGCTTTATAACAAAGTGAATCAGTTATACATATATATATGCTCCCATATCTCTTCCCTCTTGCATCTCCCTCCCTCCCACCCTCCCTATCCCACCCCTCCAGGCAGTCACAAAGCACTGAGCCAATATCCCTGTGCCATGCGGCTGCTTCCCACTAGCTAGCTACCTTACGTTTGTCAGTGTATATATGTCCATGCCTCTCTCTTAGTATATCTTTTTAGTAAATTGTATCCTTTATATCCCTAGCAATGCTTTTCATTCCAAAATCTATTTTGCCTGATATTATTATGGCTACTGCAGCTTTCTTTTGGTTAATGATTGCTAGTATATTTTTATCTATCCCTTCACTTTGAAACTTCCAATTTCCTTGTCTTGTGTAACTTATGTAAATAGCACAGCTCCAATTTGTATATTTATATCTTAATCTGACCTGACAATCTCTGTATTCTAAATGATGAGCTTAATAAATTTATATTTAATGTATTGCTATACTTATTTTCCAACCTTCTTACTTTTTGCTTTTCCTGTTCCACTTTGTATCTGTTCTTCTTTTCTTCCAATTCTTGTCCTTTAAAAATTGATCAGTTTTTGTTTGTTTACTTATATTCTATTTTTCCCCCCTACTGGTTCAGAGATGTCTTCTCTGGTTTTAGAATAAATTACCCTTGAAAATTGACTATGTGTACTTACTAACCAAGTCTAAAGTCAACACAAGGAAATACAAGAAACTTAGATTACTCAGTAATCACCCCAGTCTGATTATTCCTCTGTATTTTACTTATGTACAGTTAGACCTCAAAAAATTGGATATTATCATTATTTTATACAAAGGTTGTTAAGCTCTACCTACACATTTACCAATTCATTTTCTTTGCTCATCATTCTTTCTTGCATCTCATATATTTTTGTGGAATCATTTTCCTTCTTGAAGTAGGCATTCCTTTAGTATATGTCTATTTGTAAACTCTGGTTTTTGCTTATCTTAAAATATCTTTATGTTACTCTTATTCTTGAAAGATAGTTTTGCTGGGTGTACAGCTGTAGGCTGACTGTTATTTTTTCTTAGCTCTTTGAAGGCATTATTCTACTTTTGTTGCTGTCAAAAAGTCTGCTTCAGGGACTTCCCTGGTGGCACAGTGGTTAAGAATCCACCTGCCAATGAAGGGGACATGGGTTTGATCCCTGGTCTGGGAAGATCCCACATGCCACGGAGCAACTAAGCCGTGCACCACAACTACTGAGCCTGCACTCTAAAGCCCGCAAGCCACAACTACTGAGCCCACCTGCCACAACTACTGAAGCCTGCGCACCTAGAGCCCATGCTCCGAAACAAGAGAAGCCACCGCAATGAGAAGCCTGCGCACCGCAATAAAGAGTAGCCCACGTTCGACGCCAACTAGAGAAAGCCCACACTCAGCAACGAAGAATCAATGCAGCCAAAAATAAAAAGAAATTTAAAATTTTATAATTAAAAAAGAAGTCTGCTTCAGCCTAACTGTTCCTTTGTATATGATCTGTCTTTTCTCTCCAGTTGTTTTAAAAGTCTTCTGTCTTTGGTCTTCTGAAGTTTCACAACAATTTCTTTCTTTTACATCATTAATTTCTTGCTCTCTAATGGGTCATTCCAAACAGTATACAAGCATGTTGTTCTTTCTCACATCTTAAAGAATAAAACAAAAGATACTCTACTTTTGACACTCTTCCCCCAATCCACTGCCCAATTGCTCCCCACTGCAATCAAACTCTCCAAAATACCCATCTATGCTGTCTATCTGCATTTCCTCTCCTCCCATCCTCTTTCAATGCACTCTCACCAGACTTTTCTTTCTCATTATTCTACCAAAACTGCCCTCATCAGATTACCAGTGATCTCATCACATTTCTAAATCCAAGGCCTAGTCTCAGTTTCTCATCTTTCTTGACCTATCAGCCCCATTTGACATGGTTTATCACTCCCTCCGCTCTTGTTGTTGTTTGTTGTTGTTGCTGCTTTTTAACTTGGCTTCTATAACATTACCTGCTTTTAGTTTTCAAAAAAACCTGTTTTTCCTCAGTTGTGTTTGCTGGTCCCTTCTCTTCTCCCTGACCTCTTAATGTTGGAGGACCTCTGAACTCAGTCTTTGGTCCACATCTCTACGTATACCTATTTTTTTGGGTAATCTCAGCAAGTCTCATGGCTCTAGTGCTCCTGACTCCTAACTATATTTCTTTAGGCTAAATCTCTAACTCCAGACTGTATATTCAACTGCTTACTTGCCATCTCCACTTTAATGTCTAACAAACCTCTCAAACTCAACATGTTCAAAATTACACTTCTGATCAATCCCCTTTCTAAACCAAAAGGTTTAGAACCTTGCTCCACTCGAACCTTCCCTATCTCAGTTGATGTCAACTCCATCTCTCCAGTTGCTTGGATTAAAACCTTAGAAGTCATTCTTGACTCCTGACACTCTCTTATGAACTGCATTCAATCCATCAGGAAATTTGGTTGGTTCTACATTAAAAACCTATATGCCCATCTTCATTGCTACCACCTTGGTCTGAGCTTCCCTCATTTGGCACATGAATTACTGCAGTAACCTATTCACTGATCTCATTGCTTCTTCTCTTGCCTCACTATGGTCTCTTCTCAACACAGGGACTAAAGCTGTCATCATTTCATATCCCTTCTCTACTCAAAACCCTACCTTGCCTCCCCATTTCACTCAGAGTAAAAAGCAAGATCTTACAATAATCTATAAGTCTCTGGCCCTCCACAAATTCTATGACCTCATCTCCTATTCTCCCCTTTACTCATCTACACAAGCATTCTAGCCATTTCTTCAACACGCTCCCACCTTCAGGACTTTGCACTAGCTGTACTCACTGTCTAGAACTTTTCTTTTATCTCCAATGGCTAACTCCATTGCCTCCTTCAAGTGTTTTCTCAGACCTCTTCTCCAAAAGGCCTACCCTACTAATACTGCAATTTGCTCTCCTTGCCCTGCCATGATACTCTCAATCCCCCTTTATCTATTCTACGTTTTCTTTTTTTCATGGCAAGAATCACCTTCTAATAGATAATATGCTTAGGCTATAAGTATCAGGAGAGTAAGAACGTTTGTCTTTTGTTTACTGTTCTTTCTCAAGAGCCTAGAATAGTGCCTGTTACACAGCAGCTGCTCAACTAATATTTGTTGACTGAACAAATAAAAGAAAGTACAACTAGATATGGGTGTCACTTCCCTTACTCTCCTTGGTATAATTAGAGCTTCCTGTATCTTTGAATTTATACCTTTCATCAGTTCTAGAAAATTCTCAGCCAATACCTTTCAAATACGTTGATATATTTTAGGCCCTTCTCAATCTATTCTTTCTCTCTTAACCACACAATCATATTTTGTCCTCTTGTCACATTCTGCTGTATTCTGAGTAATTATTTCAGAGGTTCATCTTTCAGTTCATTAATTCTCTATTTTACTATTTAACTTATCAATTTAATTTCTAATCTAACACTATATTGCTTTGTTTTGAAAAGTTCTATTTAGTTCATCTTCATGTATACCTAGATATTTTTGATGATTTCTTTTTTTTTTAATTGTATTTTTAATTCTCAAACATTTTATACCTGATTATCTCATGTTCTGTATCAATCCATATCTGAATTCTTGGAGGCCTCAATCTGATGTTCATAGTTTCTTTTGTTTCTTTATTTTATATAAATTTATTTATCTTATATATATTTTTTGGCTGCGTTGGGTCTTCCTTGCTGTGTGCAGGCTTTCTCTAGTTGTGGTGAGCGGGGACTACTCTTCGTTGCGGTGCACGGGCTTCTCATTGCAGTGGCTTCTCTTGTTGCAGAGCATGGGCTCAAGGTGCACAGGCTTCAGTAGTTGTGGCTTGTGGGCTCTAGAGCACAGGCTTACTAGCTGTGGAGCATGGGCTCAATTGCTCCGCGGCATGTGGGATCTTCCCAGACCAAGGCTTGAAACTGTGTCGTGGATTCTTAACCACTGCACCACCAGGGAAGCCCTCTTTTGTTTCTTGCAAAAGACCATTTCCTTGCATGTTTGGTAATCTTTGATTGTAACTCATACTTTGTTAAATTTAATCTGTGGAAACCTGGTGATCTGAATTGAAGGTGCTTTCATCTATAGGGGATTTATATTTGTTTCTGTTGGCAACCAAAGGGTACTACCAAACTGGGGTCACTTTATACATTTTCCAGGATCCCAGACCTACTCCAGGAGTTTCAGGTCTGACCCTCTACTCTTCTGCTTGATCAAAGTGTCCTGATTGTAGCCCTGGTATGGTCCACCCATAATTTCATGTGTGCTTCCTGCTCAGTTCCCCACATTTTAGTTGGTGGGTTTAAAATGGTTTTCCTTTTGGGGAGATTTCCTTTACTTCTGGTAAGCTCATCAAAAAAATACATTACATAAAACAATACAATACTATTTTATGCCATTATTTCATAGCAAGAGGACCCTTCAGATTATTAATTCTTCCATACTGGTGGATGTGAAAATCTCAGCAGTGTTTTCCAATTTATTTTTCTATTGCTTTCTCACTCCTGTCCTAGTGTTTGTTTGTTTTTAAAAGTATGTTCCCTGGGCTTCTAGTCCTTTTTCCTCAATAATATTCCTGCATAATAACAAAATAATAGATACCATTTACTGAACAATTACTATGTGCTAGGCAGCTCTCTAAGTACTTTATATACATTATTTATTAACACTCACAGATTCCTATTATACAGTTGAGGAAACTATGAATTAGAGACACTATGTACTTGCAGAGAATCACACAATTAATATGTGATGATTCTAGAACTGTGCCTTTTTCAAACTCCAAATACATATTTGTAACCATGGTGTTATATGGCCTCCCCTATATATCTCTTAATTTGTTCTGGTCAGTGAGAATTGTTCACATGCTCAACCTCTAAGATGGCAAAGGAAAGGGGATATTTTGAGCTCCAAGGAGGAAAACGACTTTTAGACAAAAAGCTTTCTTGGGAGTTTCAGATTAGAGGACAGCAATTCTTGCATTCCTCTACCAGACTGACCCACCTCTTCACGGGCAGCTGCACAGGAGGAGCAGATAAGGAATAATACCTGGAAAGACGTGAACAATTGTCTAGAAACTTAATTAGGATAAAGAGCAGAATAATAACAATACCCCAAGACATGCTGAGTGTTTGCTGTATTCCAGGGACCGTTCTAAGATCTTTATATTCATTGTCTCGTTTTACACTCACAGTCTTGTTAGATGGAGATACCATTATTGTGCTGATGCTATGGATAAGGAAACTGAGGCTTATAATCATTAAAATTTTCCAAAGTCTCCCAGTTACATTATGGAGCTGGGATTGGAACCCAAGCTAGCTACAGATTCTGCTGGTTTCTAATGCTGACATGTTTAAAGCTCTTCTTCTTTGAGTGAAAAAAATAGGGAATTGTTATTTTTGGTATCTGTGACCATAAAATCTCATTGTCAATCTAAATGGTGTTGTAGCAGAAATCATTCTTTTGAATAGAAACCTCTCTAACATTCAAATATTGGCCTATACATTTATTAGAAGACTGAGAAGAAGCTGCCATAAGTGCCATACTGTTCGTTAGGAGAGACTTTAATTCCTTTTTTAGTATTTGCATTTTACCTGTACTGCATTTGGCAGAATTGAGTTAATAATTAGAGCTCAACCTTGAAATAAAGTAACTCTCCATCCAGTGTGTAATTCAGAATACTTGCCTCTAGAGGGTGATGCCTCATTATGGAATACTGGCCAATTATTAAAATATGTGACAGTACCTGGATTAAAAGTTCTAAGTTGAAAGAGGAAAACAGATCAATCACACTTCTGTTACAATGCAGACCTGGCCTTTGATCAGACAGAAAAGTTAAAGGACTCAAAGAAATTGTCTGAAATATTTTTCATTAACTTAAAAAGGATTTTTTTTACCTCCTTCTTAATACCCATGAGGCATGAGACCAAAGGCTGGTAGAGAAAAACAGTAGAACTTTCTGATAGCACTTTTTTTTTCCAAGATAAAGAAGAAATAATAGAGACAATATATGCAAAATTAAATAATTTTTCTCAATTTAACAACTTTTGGAGGGGAATAATTAATTTCACTGCAAGGAAAATACTTTCTGGTGATTGATAATGGGGACTGAAAAGAAAAAGATTATTTTGATATTTGGTGATTTTAAGAGGGTGATACCTACCATAAGCTATAATCCCAATCACACCAAAGGTGAAGAGCCAGAAGAGGAAGCCAGCCGTGAACCTCAGGAGTATCACAAACATCCAACTGAGGAGCATGGCGATAGTCAGGCCACTGGAGGAAAAAAAAGCACAACAAACACAGTGGGCCAGTGTGCTAAACATAGCAGAATGAGCACAGCAAGACAACACTTTTTTCTATTCAAAAAGATTCTTGATTATTTTACCTGGCTACAGAAACATTTATAATGTTAAAAAGTATAATTAATTTTGGCTGTTAAGATTTTCATGTGAAAGAGTAGGACCATCAGGGACTTTACACATAAATCAATTTTGTGCCTAGGTAAACTGAAGTTCAGTATCAATAGTTGTTCCAGGAAAAACCACAGTTCCTATCTGCCACAGTCCTATTTTTTTCCTTCACACTTACCCACCAAGTGTAAAAAGCATGGATAAAGCATATCCATGAGGAAATTGTACTGTTCTTGTTCTATCTACCTGGTGACTAATGAAAACCTTATGTAATATAACACTCTAGCAGTAAGGGAACAAACTTAGGGCAGAAAAACAAGCAAAATAACAGCCCCACACAGTTCCTAAATCCATGATTTTGCAGTCATTATCATTCTGGTCTAATTATCTCTAATCGTTTGTGATGTCTAACCTCACTAGACATTTATTTCGGGTCCCCAGTGATCTGTGGGCCATTATTTGGAGCCATGATAAGGTTTCTGTGTCTCCTGTGCCATGCAACTTTATCAACCAATCAACAGCATGAATATTTTCCTTCTGTTTCAATTTCTTCCTGGCGTTTGATTGAGCTACTAGAGGTACTTCTTCCCCCCCCAACCCCATATATCCAGGTTAGGGTCATATTGGATTCTTCTAGGTAATTTTATCAAAGAGAACTCACTAAGATTGGAAATTTGGCTTCTATTAAGAACCGACACCACTGGTGATATCTGCAAGTTTCCAAACAGACAGAGCTTGGCACATTGATTGAGTTTATTGTCTTCAAATATTATCTTTAAAAAGAAAATAATAATACTGTCACTGGATAGATGACAGCATGTATCAGAGCACCTCCTCAGCTTGAAGTCTTGCAGAGCCTATGCTTTTAACTTCAGAAGCCATTCCCTTTTAAAAATCACAGATACTTTCATGCTGAAATATTCAACATAGTTGAAGAATTATTCTGTGGCATAGTCCAAGGGGGTTATTAAAAAAGGTCAGGGGGGAAGAAAAGAAATATAGCTCTTTACTGTTCTGTGTTTTTAATTCCCGCATAAAAATTCTAACTGAATAAACTAAATCCCAGTATGTCAGTCTTTGGCTTTATTTGTATAAAATCGATGAGAACAGAAGAGTTGAAAATAAAGGGAGGTGTATATGTTCTAGCAGTTCTAGGTGTTTAGTCCGTGGGTAGACAGCATTTCAGTGCATGTGTTGGGAGTGAGGAGGGCAGGAGAATCTATCATAATTTACACTTTTTTCAGGTAAGAGTGGGAAAGCCAAAACAAGGGAAAAACATAGAAATTATCTAGTGATATTTGGGTCTGACAATAGGGGCACCAGTTTCCTGTCAAGTATAGACTACAATCTCTGCTATGGAGATATATCCTGAAATACACACTGAAGATAATTCCTGTAATTGTTTAAGACAAAGCATCAAAATGAGTAAAATCTGATAAAACTATCTAGTTTTATAGCTCCAAAAACTACTCACTAGTATTTTACACACAGTGCAATTTTGACTTTATTAAGCACCTTACAGTTAAATATATCTATCTTGTTCCCCTAGTATTTTTATAACTGTTCCACATTTTCTATGCATCTCTATGGTCCAAGAACCATACCAGGAGTTAGGAAAATAAAGATGAGTTAGACATAGTTACCATGGTAAAGAGTTCATAGTTTATCAGAGGGAAAG